AGGTGCTTCTTTAAAGTCTACAAACACTATATCATATACCCTACAGTATGTATATCCATTAATTTTGCTTCTTATTCAAAGAAATAAACAAGTCAGGTAAACTAGGCCTACTGTTGCTGTATTATACCTACAGTATGTTGACAATTCCCAGGATATCTGCATATATTGTGTGATGCTCTGTTTTGGTTCTTATTAATAATTTCCATAGCTTTACACATAACGGAAGTCTGACTTTTTTTATTGATTCAGTTTGCTGACCTTTTTAATGAATAGTACTACAGTACAATAGCATTTTTCTAGTCCCTAGATACTACTCCTGACTCTGGCAACTGTTGGAAGAGTTGCGTCAATGACTTCTGAATAACATCTCTTGTTTCCTTGTGTACAATTGATAAGATACAATTGGGGCCTGGGGATCTATTAATCTAGAGTGCGTCTAGTAGTAGAAACACTTCTGACTCTTCTAAGATGATACTATCCAGTACAGATTTTTTTCCTTCCACTGCCTGAAGCATGTTTTAACTTCTTCCTTAGTGAACACCTGAGTGAAACATTCTTTTAGTAAACAGGTCATTTTACATTCTGTGATTAGGAATTCCCCATTTCTGTCCTAAACATATATTACAACTACTTAGATGATCCTTCTTCTGTTGCAGCACTTAAAAGAATTTGTATTATTTATTGTAATATTCCTTTCAATTTCTCTCCTGCCCTTTCTAGTATCCATTTTACCTGTGCTTGCAATCCATTGTACTTTCACCAGTTTGACACCAGTTACAAGTTTTATTTCATTCAAAAAGAAAAAAGTAAGTTACAGAAATGCAAAACATAGTCAAAACAACATCTTATCACACTTTCTGTTTTTGTAGTGCAAGTGAATGTTCTAATGTTGCAATTCTGTAGCTCTCATTGAACAGCTGCATAAACGCAGTGCCTGATTTCACACTATGCATAATAAAACACTTGCATTATTTTCTCAGAACCATTTATTTAGCAGCATGTTTAAGGTTCTTCGGAGTCACTACAATGTGCTTTAGCTTAAATTTCTAAAGTTAAAGATAGAAAATAATAGGCATGCGGAAATATTGATATGCCACCTTTGACCACTGATGACTTGAAGCTTAAAGAAAGAATAGTGGCTGACAGACAAGAGATAAGAGTTTGCTTGTTGACATATGGCCATAGCTCAGCTGAAGAAAAAAGGAACAAAATGTCAGGAGTTAGAATGATGAGGTCATCAATGAAATATGGCAATATTTTAAATATTCATTAAAGTAAATGACAGGTATCATCCAATAACTTTTATATTTAGGTTGACCAATATTTAGGTTATCCTTCTTAACACTGGCGATTACCAAATCTCTTCTATTTTACTGTACTCTTTTCTGTTATACTTAATAGAATGACCATTAAAGGGTTGCTTAGTTCCTGTTATTCAAATATTTGCTAATAAGCCAATTATAATTGCAAAAAAATAATTTGGGATAAAAACTGAATTTGCCTGTAGAAAACATAGGAAACATAACCTTTAAATCAAGTCTGACATAACTGAAAAGCATATGTTTATTTTATAGTGGAAACCTGTTTGTAGCAAGCACTTTACAACATATAATACTGGAAAAAATATATTTCATCCTCATGAATTACTTTTACTACATAATAACCGATAGGGATTCAACTGCAGTGACTGGTTTTTAGCTTACTCACCACTGCCAATAGCAGCTCTTATAACTCTAACTTTAATTGTGTTTGACTGAGATAAAAAAAGCCTTCAGCAACCGTTAAAACATCAGCATTTATTTTATATAATGTTGGCAGAACAATCTATGCAGGAATGACCCACAAACGATCGGTATCAAAGCTATTGTAACATAAATCACTGTGGTATTTCAAAATTTAGAACTGAGCTGGATCAATATGAATCTCTCAGATGTACAATGCCAAAGACACAGCGCTAAATTCATTGACGAATGTTAAAACAGCAAAATTTATATGTGCTTGCTTTCAGCATTTGGAAAAGAAGCAACATACAGCCGTGGTACTCAGCTATGTTCAGGGCCATTTTAAGAACTGAATGCCAGCAAAGTGGTAGTCCTGCCAGCACACAGCTGGAAGACAAGCATTCTTTAAGTGCTTTGTTACTATTAGGAACTACCAGTTAAATCATCTGTATTTAATTGCCTTTGGCATGACTGCTAGAAAGTGAATTCTAACAGAGCTCATTTAGGTATAATTCAAGTTTAAGGAACTTTCAAAATATGGCATTTAAAAAATATATGAGAAGACAAAATATGTACCCCCTTATTCTCAATAATCTAATGGGCTCACTTTGAAATTCTATAATAGGAGACCTCTCTCACTACTTTTAGTATGTAATCAAGTTTTGTGAGTTTATATTCAGGTCAGGGGAGTTACTTCCTTAATTTCCATCAAGATTTCAGCAGCCTTATCCTTCCATTCTACTAAACATTACGATCTATCTGCAATTCCTTGGACTACAAAGGTAAAGATGGCACTGTTGGAAGCACACAAGGACAAGGCCCAGGCTGAATTTAAATTACTTAATATATGTCATAACAAAGTCAAGCCCAATATCCCTCAGCATTATAGAAAGCCATTTGTCAATAGCTTGTCAAAAGCTTTTACACTCCAGGGATCGTGAGCTGCATGGATGTGAGAATGTCAGGAATCGAATGCTAATGTGAAAAATCCTTTGTTTTGTAAAGTGTGTCTCAAACACTACAAACACTGAAAAGAGCAAAAGCTGCCATTTCTTTCGCGAAAGTGTGAAGGAACCTGGAAACCATCACACAGGGTGTGTAAGACACATTAAATTGAGGCATACTTTCAGTTTAATAGAAAATCCACTTTATACATTACAAATATTCATCCCTGGTTATGTCCTTTAACATGTTGAAAGAACTGTGCAAAGTCACTCATACAGTATATCTATTATCCATCCATTTTGAGTGCCTGATCCATGCATTTGTAACACCAAGGCTTGATTTCTCCAATCCTTTACTGTATGGGCTCCCTATTTCTCATCTTTATGTTCAAACCTCTGCAGCTAGACTACTTACTCACACTAGACCCTGGCAGCATACTGTATCACACCAACACTAAAGTCTCTTCACTGGTTGCCTAAAAAGTCACGTATTCAATACAGGATCTTGCTGTTGATGTTCAAGGCTCCAAACCATCTGGCTCCATCTCACATCTCTCTACTCCTCCATGTTTACACTCCCCCCCGTAGAGTCGGGTCAGTTGAGGTCGGTCATCTTCTCACTGTTCCCAGGATTAAATCATGGACTTTTGGTGACCGTGCCCTCTCTGTCACTGCTCCAGTGTTGTCGAATGACCTTCCTCAGACTTCACGAGAGACAACTTCTGTAACTCTCTTCAAATCTAAACTTAAAACATACCTTTCTACCGGGGTCTGAATGCCTACAGTTAATTTGTAAACACCTATATGCTTTTTTTTTCATTTACTCTTATTGTACTTCTCTTGTCTTTTTCTTCATTTGAAGATATAGTGTCCTTGGGAATGGAAAGGCACTTTATAAATAAAAGTTGTTATTATTATTATTTAAAGTTATTATTTTCTAACCACTTTCTTTAATTCAGGGTCATGGGGGAGCCAAAGCCTATCCTGGCAAGTAATGGGAGAAAGGCAAGGTACACCCTGGACAGAACCCAGTCCATCACAATGCAGACAGACACAAACATGCACACGCACACCAATGTCCCCAGCAGGTCTTTGGACTGTGGCAGAAGACTGGAGAATCCAGATGAAAATCCACATGATCACGGGAAGACCATGCAAACTCCACACGTATAGCACCCCAGGAATTGAACCCAAGGCCCCAGTGCTGCAAGGCAGCAATTTTGAACTAGCCACTGTGCCACATTTATACCTATTATTTTAGCAGCTCAAAACGTTACCATTATACTCAGAAAACATAAAGCTTGAACAGTAATTGGCTACCACTGCAATTAGTTTTAAGAGAGGAATTTCTATTTAACTGATATTAGTCAAGTAGTTTACACTGCTCCCAATAGTTTTGACTATAGTGTGTTCCACTGACACAGTATTAAAAACATTATCCATATCAGTATTTTAATATTGTACAGAAAGTCCCATACAAGTCACACTTTCAGTAAAAACAAAGGAGTTTTTACTAAATAAAATCCCATTGAGTAAAATGAATTTACATCATTATTACTTTAATCAACTGTAAAGTTACTGTACGTTGGGTTCATTTAAATATAAAAGGCTTTTCATGATCATGATGTAGGCAAACTTAAATGTCTAAATACTCTAAGTCACAAGAAAACTACTGTTACACTACGGGAAAACAGGATACTTAGTAAAACAGAGTACTGTACGTCTTCTTCTGCCCTGTTGTCGTTATTGCATAACAGTTCTGTTACCTGTTCAGACCGAAAAGAAACGTTATGGAGATACACCCTAACAGTAAACTGAAGAGCGTTACTACAAAAATCACTATGGTTACTTCCAGCAGTACTCAAAAAACATTGGCGATTAAGTACAGCATGAAGATTACTACAGTGATTACTACTGAAAGAAAAATGTGTGGCTTCTAAGTGGAATTACTGCGATTTTAGAATTGAAAATGTGTATTATTGCATAACTGCTAAGCTCGAAAATCATTAATGTTTTTTAACATAAAACACAAAGGAAATGCATTCTCTGGCTTTTTATTAGTGCTTTAAAGTTCATTCCTACTTTATGTAGTTACCATTCGCAGCACTTCAAGTGAAGAAAATAAAGGTGTAAAAATGCCTTGTGAACTGCATCGCTTCATATTCTTCAAAGATATTACAAACCGGTGCTGTGCATTTGCTTTTGCTCTAGTTGCAGCAAAAGCGCAGGAGTATAATGTTTTCTTAGCGCCCAGTTATAGAATTGCATTTTCTTCCGCCTTTTGACATTTTAAAACAGATACCCAAACTTTCAAAGACGGTTTTGATCCACTCACCAAGACTGCACGTTGACTGACTTCAGACGCGCAGATGCGTTGTTCCTCCTCCAACTGAACAGCTCCGCTCAGTTCTGTATCTCTCAGCTCGGCAAGAAAGCATTTTTTTGGGGATGGGTGGTGTGTTTGTTGGGGAGGGGGGGGCTCCACGAAAAAAGGGTTATGAACTCTCTAGCGTGAGTTGCTGTCAGCCTTATTAGGAAATGTTTTGATCTTTTTATTTTATCTTCTGTGTTAACTTTCAAAGCTAGCTGGAGTTTCAGTAAGTTGTTGGAGGAGGACGTCTGGAATTTAGCAGCCCACCAACCAAGTATTGTATTTTATTAATGACCAAAAAAAGTAACACACCAAACAGGGATGGAATAAGAAAATAAAAAATATGCACAAAATTCGGAATATCAGACAGATAGGACAGATGACGTTTAATCTGTTTATGTTTTTAACCGTGAATGGTGCCTACTTTGCGATATAACAGGGCTTTGTATACATACTCACACATTCATGTGTATTTGTGAAATTCTGACTATTTTAATGTCTGTTCGATCGCTTAAAATACCAAGAAAAAGTACTTCATATTGCGTCCTTCATGAAAAATCGAGTTTAAAAAATCGGATGTAAAACGATTTAACATAAGTAAAAAAAACAACTCACAAGAACAGTTGCATTTCATAGTACATAATGTGTTATGACAGTACAGGAGAACAGTTCTAAAAGATGCATTTAACGGAGTGCAAATATCTTAAAAACTGGCCATATGTCCTCCTGGTCTTGGCACACACAAGAGGATGTTAGTGGCATCCTACCAGCCCCTGGGTGGAAATTACTAAAGGCTGAGGATAAAAAAAAAACACAGACTTGATGTAGAATTTTGAGAAGTGTATCCGATGAAACTGCCTGAACTGAAAATACAACAACTAAACTGCCAATAATAACTCCAACAATCCAGAGTAATCCTTCCTTAACTTCCAACACTAGATCTGCTGTATATGTGTTTTAAGAGCCTTCCATATGGTCTCTTTTTAACAAAAAAACACTTTCACTACACCAGGTAAAGTGGAAATGTACATTTTCTTCCATTACCTTTAATCACTCTAGTGGAAAAAAGACATGCAAAAGGAATTCAAAACTCTGGCCTCAGCTGAGACTAGAGTCTTTTGAACTTTATCAGATGGATCAGCTGAACAGCTGGCTAGATTATCCAGATGACTAAAGCCGGCATGCAAAAAGAACTGTTATCGACATAACCCTGATACCATCACCAGCAGGCACAACCTTTTTTTTCCCCATGCACAGTTTGAAATTTGCCAATGGAGGACAATCTACTGAAAGATTTTAAAAGGAAGAAAGCTGACACAAAATTCAAGATAAACACTGCATTGAGCTTCATTATTCTTGTTAGCTAATTAACAATGATGATGTAATACAATTCCCAGTTATTTATGTATTTGTTTTCTTTAAATACTGCAATGGAGATGGTTTGACAATTTGAAGAGATTAGAGCAGTCACTGCTAATTTTCCCAACAGCAGAAAAACACAAAGCAATACATGTAGCCTGTTCTTGTGAGGACAGTGTACTGGCAGGGGAAAGAATACATTTCTGATTTCTTTGATTTTCTTTTTTTTCTCTCTGTAGAGGGTTATCTAACATTTATGAAAGAGGTATTGTTCTAGGCAAAAATTAATTTATGAATTGCACTAGTTTCCTAAGAGCAGGTTTTAGCATGAAAACTTTGTTGAACAGGCAGGCAGGATAGTGGAGCATATGGTTTGTTCATTTAGTAAGTAATATGGGATTTAAGTTAGGTCTGGATGATCAAAACACCTGCCAAATCTCCTGGCTGTCACTGCATCCAGCATAATGCATTTGTTGGCTAGCAGCAGTTCATATATCCAGTCCTGTCAGCACTAACCGATGACTGACTGCAATAAACAGTAGAGAAGGCTACTACAAAGTAAGAATATTGCTATACTGTGTAGAAGACCTGTCATTCCAAACACATATATTCATATTTCTAAACAACAAAACCTTATGTAATGTTTTGTTTTAGATAACATATTTTCTGTTTACTCTTAAGAAAAAATTCTATAGATGGCCAACTAGTTTCTATGGAAATGTTGCAATTGAAGATATTGAACTCTAAAGTCATAATTCACAGACTTAGAGAAAGGAATAATAATTATAATGAAACCTTTCTTCCCTTTCATCAGGACTTTGTTTCTTAAACCACAATTTAAACATACAAATTTCGTTCACAATACCAAGATTCAAGCTCTCCTCATGTTTATGTACTGTACATCATGAGCAAAGCCTTCCTATCCTTCATGCTTTCCACAAGGAAGATTACTGAACCTAATATTGATAATTATATCAAATAAGACTGCAAGACATAAGTGAAATATGAAATTAACCATTTCAAGTGAAACAGTGGAATAATATGCACACTGTAAAAAGGCAAGCTCAAAAGAAGATATGGGTGATAGTCTAAGTATTGATAAAGTGTTAATAATACTGCTCCCAATGACAAGCGATGTGGAAGAATGATTGTGTACAAGAGATATGTTTTTCTTCAGAGTTAAAAAAAGAACATATACTGTAAGATCATATATAATAACACATTTGGTCTCCAGCTAGCACCCGCATTTTTGGTGGTGAAATTCTCAGTCTGGTATCGTGCGGTACATCATCGTTGCAGTGCTATAAATTTAAACCCACAGCAACAGCGACCTCTTTTGGTTATAGAAATATCGGTACGGGGAAAAATGAAAGGGTGCAATAATAAATGATTTGATGAGCGAAGGGCTCAATCTGCCGATCGCATCTATATATTTGATGTTCAGAGGAGACATTTCATTGTAATAGATTTCTACATCTTGTCTTTACAATGTCTTGTGCTGTGGACTCACAGTTTTCAATTCTGAAGTTAGGGAAGGAATACCATAATACTCAGTAGGATGAATGGATACAAGATGGATGGATGGAAAGAGCTGGACTTTATAATAAACAAATGTACCTTAATTCTTTTATATAATTTCCCCTGATCCTACTGCTCAAATGTGAGGGGAAGGCACAATATGTAGCTAAAGGTATAAAAGTTGCTAATCTTTTTTCCATTTTTTTCCTCTTTTCTCCAAATAAATACAAATATTTCAAAATAAATAAAATACTCCCCTTAGGGTATGGAGGGTCCTGGATTTTGCAAGTGGCTGTGTCAAATTTAGGCTGTGCCTGTAGCTGGCTTTGGACAGTTACGAGACTCAGAGCCTAGCTTCTAGAGATTTCTCACCTTGGATGGCACTGTGAACAAACAGGCTACAGCACAGTGGAATTATCTAGAATATTCACCAATCAGCAGGACACTATGTCCGTGGTTTATCACCTGTGAGTGACTTCCCTCTAGTGAATGTTAAAAGCCCTAATATTAATGTAAAAGAATCTCCAATTGCAAAAAAAGGGCTTCCGAAAGTATGTTTCACAAGACAAATGTGTTTATCTTCAGGGCTGATGCAGGAGTGTAACGGGGAGCTGTGTTTAATGGTATTAAACTATTCCAAAATGGAGGAGTCAAAAGAGTAAAAAACAAATGGTGGTTCTGAATGTCTTAATATTAAAAATAACAGTCTGCTTAGTCTGGTCAAATATAAAAGAAATGTAAAAGAGTCTCCTACTGAAAGAAACTGCCAAATGTGTTTCTTGGAAACACTATAAATTATCCCACTTCCACTCCCTAGCCACATTTTTTCAGTTCCTGGCAGAAAAGCTGAACATTTGACAATGTTGTTTTGAGCTTTAGCCCATATTCACGTTCAATTAAGACGCCCTCATTCAAACCACACTAATTTTTTGAATGACCAGGTTGGCCTTAAACAGGCTGCTGCAGGAATCCTTACCCACAAACACTGGGCTTGATTTTCTGACATTGGGAAAAAAAAAAAACACTCTCATAAATTTACTGCGGTCCTGGTAATTTGCCATTAAAGGAAATATTTCCAGTGCTTTTTCTCATGGCTTATCTATATTGCTGGTTAAAACGTTTCCATTAAGCCTGCAATGTCATGCATTGTAATCAAACAGCTGTCCAGGCAGAAGAGCTCAGCATAGCCTGTGTTTCCTGAGATAGCTGCAGCATGCAGATAGAGGTGGTGCTCAGTGTTAATTTTGTTTCAACAAAAAAACAAATGAAAACATGAAAACACATCAGCAGCTTTTCAGCTTGATTATGTAGCACTACTGATAATTGTATCATATGTGCATACCATGTGTGCAAAACTTTTTTTTTCCAAATCACATTTTTTTTCTAACTTTAGACTTTATTATTATGCTGTCATCCTGCACTCTTCGACGCATAAATTGTACACTTGCATTAATGCTGCAAATCAGAGGTGCAAGAAAGTATCTTTCTGGAGTAAAGCCACAAATTAAACTCACAATTCATCCACCTCTGGAGTGTAGCACACACTGCAGATGATGCATGGCAGCCATTGTACCAGTAGCCCCAGCAGATTAGGTACAGCAGTGAGAAATATTTTTACCAGCAGAATTTAGGGATACTTTAGGGAGATCAAAGTGAGCAGGCCCTAAGAGGAACACAAGAAGGAAACCGGAGTAGGTACTGTACATCTACTCTTTCAAAAGTACCATGGAAGCTTTAAGTACTTTAAGGTAATTAGAATTACACTCCTACAGCAGTGTCACCAGTCACAATACCAGAGAATCCATTTAGACATTGATCCACAGGGAAGAGCGACACCTACTGGGCTACTAACACCTCCTTCAGCAGCAACCTGGATTTTCTTGGATGCCTCCCATCCTAATACTGACCAGGCCCAGCTCTGTGTGATTTGATGAGATCAGGCCATAAGATGGTACAATATGTGTAACAAATAATTAAACATATAAACTTAAAAGACTGATACTGCCATGTGCTTTTTAGGACCTTAAAAGCTGGACAGCTCCTTTATAAAGCAGGTTTATAAAGCAGATATGCTTATTACACATTTAATTTCTTCAGTGAAGTTCTATGATACGACCTAATATAACATGAAAAGTAACAGTCCATCATTCCATAGTCCAATCTGGTTGCTTAAGTGCCATCAGGTGCTTGGAATGTGAACTATGTTGTTGAAACAATGTTTTTCACCCCCAAAATAGTTGAACTTTGAATCATTAAACAGATAAGAATGTTTTATGAATTGTTCTTTTTGCCCATTTGCTGTAGATAGAGTTAATTAGCCTTACATGACTGTTATTGTTAACCTCTAGGTCACACCTTCTTTGAACTCCCCACAGGGCCCAACATATCTAAATACCCTGAGTGATAACAAGTTGATTTCTTTACCACAGCTGCAACACCGTGTTCTGCAAATTGCAGTTGCCAGGTATAGTTTTAGTACTTGCAAAAACGTTTACAAGCCATAGCGTTTCTTGACGAGGGTAAAAAACAAAGTAGTGATGACACATTTTACAGAACATAGTTTACGAATGTCGCATGTTATTTCTTGGTGTTAATTGTTCCATCTGAAATGTAATCCCTAGAAAAGTCAAGAAATAAGACGGACGATGGCAGAGAAACATCTTTAAAAATCGTCTTTTCAAATCTTATTTTTCCTGTACCTTGAATGAATCGTGTAAAGTTATAGACCACGTTTATTTCCTAGTTAGGTAATAAAATGTATAGTCTTTCAATGTATTTGTTAAAAAATAAATCTCGGTTCTAAAGCATGGTCAATCATGGTAGTCAGTATAAGACACTTAAAAAATAAATCGCGCGGACGCATGAAGATGTTGCTTTTGTATCACTTTTTGTCAAAAAGATTTGCAAACGGGGTGTGCTTGCAAACGGCTATTTTGCACATTACGATATTTGTTAAAGCCAAAAATACGAACTGGAAATCGCCTTTTGAAACAAGGCCAATTAAAGCAGTTTCGTATGTGTTCAGAAAAAATACCAGAAAGTTATTCTTGAAACTATATATGGTTATATGTACTGTATATGCTTTGGCAGTTTCGCTTCAGTTATACTGTACCTGTATATAAAGTAGAAGATCAAATGGGCATGTATTGACCATATACGTAGAATTGTTTTCACAACATAAAATACTTCGTGTTCCCTTTAGGTTAGTTAGCCCCACTGCCCGTCATGTCCGGGATATGTGCAAAAATATATAGGATGTCCAAACTGAAGTGGATAAAAATTTCACTTCTCTTTCTAAACTTCTTTTTCTGGGTAAGTAACATAACATTTCCAAAAGAAAAGTGTAATACCTTATGCAAAACATACCGTATATAAAATGTTTATCCCCGATTTGACTAATTCATTTTTGTTTGAGGTAAATAAAGATGTCATTTATTTATAATCACAAATTGCATTGTTAAATTAAATGAGCTGAACAATAATTTCCCTGTAGGTTGCAGGCCTAACCTTAATCTGTGCCGGTGCCTCAGTGGAGCTTAACCTCTATGATGTCTCTGTGGTGGTATCAGAAGTCACTTCTAATGTTGCTGTTGTTCTTATTATCGTTGGGATAATCATTTTTGTTCTGTCCCTTATTGGCTGTGTTTCAGTAATCAGGGAGAACAGTAAATTGATTAAAGTGGTATGTATTTTTTTTTACTATTATACATCTCTTTAACATACTTAATAGCTTCCTATTAGGTATGTTTTTAGCAAGCTGTAATAAATGATAAATCTTGTTTATCTTTTCACATTAAGGGGAAGGTATAATATTTTCAAGGAAAAAACAGTTCCTTTGAACAGCTGGAAAACCAAATAAGTGCAACGTATTACACAGTATAGGGACAAACAGCGTTTTTTTGTTTTAGCAGTTGTAATTGTTATGTTCTTTATCTTGCAGTTTTCCATTGTGTTGTTCATCATGTTTATTGTGGAAATAGGAGCTGGAGTGTCAGCGTATCTTTACAGGAAAGGAGTAGGTTGCCTTTTGTTCTTTCAAACCCACTCCCACAAAAGAGTGTTTTTTTTCTAATTAATAAAGCTATAAAACAACTTGGGATGCTAATCTCAGAACTCTTCATAAATATAAGAAAAGTATTTCTCCATCAGTTAAACATGCCACATGGTTTAAAGTCATTACAAATTAAGCATTCATACAGGGTTTTATTATAACTTTGTTCTGCAGATCCACAAAAGCATATTGGATGTGTACTTGAAGACTCTTCATAGTTACCCTACTGAACCTAATCTCAAGGTACCTGTGGATAGATTGCAGAAACAGGTGAGATTTTTCTGCAGTTTCATGTATCCATCCATCTACAGTACAAGTAGTTTCTAAAAGTACAGGGTGACAGGGCAAGTCGGAACCTAATCTGGCAAGCAACAGGAAACCCATGTGACAGGAAAGTCACATGGAGAGCATGCTTAGTCCACACACATACTGTAATAACCCAGGAACTGAACTCAGGGTACAGTATCCTGTAGATATGTTTTTTCAGAAATATTGAGTTTGACATTTTAAGATCTTACAATGTATTTTGTTTTTCTAGCCATTTTATATGCAATTATGAATACATTGACTGTGGGACATGCTGACATATTGGTTAGCGTTTAACTGAACTCTATGGTTAGTTGTGTACTGGGGTGCTGTCTGTGTGGAGTTCACATGTTCCCCTGTGTTTGCATGGGTTTTCTCTGGGTGCTTTGGTATTCTCCCACCTCGCAAAGATATGCTGGTGGGTTGACTAGGTATGATAAAATTATTGGCTAACATGAGGACCTGTCTGGAATAGCTCTGCTTCACTGCTGGTCCCAGTACAGTTGGAATAAGGGTGTGGTGAAGAGAAATAACAAATGAAAATATTGAGTAAAAAATGGATATTTGACGACTATGAAGCCTCAGTTCAGGAGTATAATTCTTATATGTTTTGTTTCTTCCACTTCCCTCAGTTTCACTGCTGCGGTGCTGTGATATATTCAGACTGGTTCAACACCACCCTGAGAAATGCTGTTCCAGACAGCTGCTGTATGAAAGAGACACCACACTGTGGGACCTCCATCAACGAGACAACTAATATTTATACACAGGCAAGCCTTTCTGTATTTAAAATTTTCTTCCTTTTTAAAAATTGCTGTTAACCTCAGTTGTCTGCTCCTGTAAATCTACCGATTCTCTGCTCGTTTAGAAATGAGGGAAGTTCCCAACCCAGGAACCAATTGCCAGGTGTGGTGCTGTTTGTTGTTCACAGGGATGCATTGATAAGATTGGATCATGGATTCATGAGCACAGCATCCTTATTGGAGGGATAGGAGTTGGCTTTGGTGTTGCACAGGTAATGAACATCTAGAAATAGATTCCTGGGTGACTGAATTCAGATGGTGAAATATATAACACCTATTGTTCTATTAAGGTCTACAAGTAGTGCTGTTTTTATAATTGGAATTGCTTCGCTCAAATACCTATATTGATCCATCCATCCATTTTCTAATGGCTTCATCCAATTCAGGGTCACAGGGGAGAGCCAGAGCATGCAATGAGCGTAAGACAGACTACACCCTGGATGGGACGCCAGTCCATCATGGGGTAGACACGCACAGACTCACATCAGGACCAATTTGATGATTAACCTACTGTACCAGAATGTCCTTAGCCTATGGGAGGTAACTGGAGCATCCTGCAGAGAACCCATGCAAGCAAGGGGAGAACATACAGTACAAACTCCACGCAGATAGCACCCCATGGCTCCGCACTCTGAGGCGGCAATGCTAAATACTATGCCCAGTACCTCCCCCTCAAATATTTATCTACCACTCAAATACACTATCAGTCTACATTGTTCAGTCACATTTGATGTAGATAAAATATGATGATAAAATGTGCTCCTCACCTACATGAAAACTTGTATTTTAAAATGTATTTTGTTCAGTGCTTTCAGTGTTGTAAAACATTTTTCCTTTCTTTTTTATTTTAGGTTGCCGGAGTAGTTTTTTGTTTCCTCTTGGTGAAACATCTTGAAGCAGAATATGAAGTAATGTAATTGTGGATGACCTGTGAGGTATTACAATAAAAATGAACGTTAACATTTCTTTCAAACCTAAAAGGTTAAATGTTTGACATTGTTCATTTTGAAACACCTAGCAAAAAAATCCTAAAAATGAAATCCATGTGCCTGTCACTTGTAGTTCTTTGAAAATTGGATGCATTTCAATTATTCTACATACAGTTACATTCCTGGTTTAGACTTGAATTAATATTAACATTGATAACCCTCATTCATGTAGGAGGATGAATAAAGCATTCTTATTTCAAGGCATACGTTTGTGGCCAAAACGGGGAAAAAAGAAATCTGTGGAGGACATGACAGGTTGAGAAGATTTGCAGGAACACCCTGTTGTAATTTGTAGCATTTCTCGACTTCTGTATACCCTAGACATTTCCCATATTTTTTAACAGTAGCATGCAATTTGGTTTATTTATACACTTCTCTAACACTTTTGTAAGTGTCTTTGGTTAAGGCCCTATTGAAGTTGAACAAGTACATTTTCACATCCAATGGACCAAATACCAGACATCTGGCAACTAGTAGTTCACACCAAATTTGGAAATGTAGAGTTTCAGAAAACAGCAGGAAAACAAAGCTACTGAATTCTTATGTCAGAATTCTTGAAACAGCCAGTGAATTGTTTTGACAAAGAACTGAACCTGGCCATATTCAGTAAAAAATAATAAAAAGGGCAAGCCAGGCAAGACCTCTAGAAAAAAATCTGGTGATTTAATTTTGTTCTCAGTCCCACAGTCCTAGACATTTGATTTTTCTTTCTAAGGGTTGTATATTAGAATGTTATTTCTTTAGAAACAGATCATAGTTATATTTTCTATAATGGATTCTGTACTGGACAAATTTTTTTCTGAATTTATAATGAAGATGAATCCCCTTACAAAAGTTGTAGGAAGAAGGTGAGAACATTTGCAAGTACTTAGAAATTCCATGGTGCACTTGGTAAAGCACACATAAGGATTAATACAAGTAGTGAAAGTGACAATGTTTAAGACAATTATGTACTTATGCTTTCTAAACAGCATGAAGATTAAGTTTTCAGATTCAGAGGCTGGAAAACACTTTTAATTGTAACCTCCCTTTTGAACCTACCATATGACAGATGATTTCTAAAATAAATGCAGTACTTCTGGATAACATGTTTGATAACCATGTTTGAAACATTTACATGAATGACAGGTGTCTGGTTAACAAAGCTTAAAGTATGCCCTGGCCTGTTGCTTTGCAAACTTGCCTTGTATTAAAGAAGGCATACAGACCAACCATGAAGAACTGAGGCTTGTATCCCAGCCATGTTTTTGGAACTTCACCTCAAAGCATGTTCTATTGTAATAGTAACAGCCAACGGCATATTTTATACAGCTTAATGTGCCTCTGGGTTATGGTTTTGTGATAAATGATCTGAAGAACATTTAAAGCATTAACTTTTATTTCTTGAAGTTAAACAAAAATGAGTTATGTCGCAAGAGAGTTGCAGTAACTCAGGAAAAAATGTTTCTCACTTAATTCCTTTTAAGTGCTGAATTTTAAATGTCACTCTCTACCTTTTAACATTAAGAATAGGACTTCATTATAATTTGATTTTGCTTAATAAGGATTTCTGGCATACCTTGAAAGCTACAGAGTTCAGCACTGAACACTTTAAGTGTTCTTAATTAGTATTAAGTGAACTTAATTCACAGAGTTCCAGTTTGGCATTAGTTGTAATCTGACAATACTGGTGTCTGATTATTTCACCTGAAGCATCCCTTTCCAATTGAGATTACACAGGAAAAAAAATGTTAAAACAAGCTTTCCACTTTATTTTAAATATATTAAATATAAAATCATTTAAATTAATGATTAGAGGACATTGTTTGAATTTGCATCAACATCAGAAAAAGTCTCATTTTGTGGTTTTAAAAACAGTTTTTTTGTACACATCAGATTTACACAACTACAAATAAAGAAAATGATGGTGATACACTAGTAACAGTTTCATCTCTTCAGGTCAGACTGGATTGTTTTCTGCAGGCTGGCTATACTGGCATCAAGCGCAGCAAGTCCATTCCTGAACTCCTGTTCATCCCGGGTGTTGAATGTGGAAACTGAACTCATACTCCCGTCTGAAGCAACAGATCTAATGTCAAATGATGAAAACGTGGAATTAAAAGTTGACGATCTTCTATTAAATACCTGTCCTCTGTTTTCATCACATGGAACAAAGTGCTGGAAATGATTACTATTACCACCTGCAACAGTGTCTGTTCTACCCAAAGGTCTTAGTAATGCTCCATCAGTGTCACTTGAAGGAGTATTTGAAGATTTTCCTGGACTTTGTAGGGAATCTCCCCTATATGACAATGGACCTTTTGAGATGTGCAGTTTTTCAAAGGCACAATCTAGGTGTTTTGGCTTAACACATTGTACTATGTCATCACTAGGGTTTCTTTTAGAATCGTATGGTTTTTTGTTGCTGCTGCAGTGAGCAGAAGGCATCATTGGTGCATCACTTGAGTACTGCTGCTTCCTTACGGTCTCCTTGAGTGGAATATATGTGGTCTTGTCCAGCTCTGCTTCCCTGTTTGAACCTAAACTAAGACCATTCTCAGTTAAAGGAGTTGTCATACAAGCTTTCATCGGAGAAGAGTTTTCCTCTGGATTGCCAAAGCTGTCTCCAATCCTCCAAGTAGACAGTCCACCATTTTCTTTAGATTCACAAAAAGTAGGCATGCCTTCCTGAAGGAAACAATGTTGATTAGCTTCTAAAGTCTTAAGATACATGTTTATTGCGTTTGAGACAGAATCAGATGCAGAGCTTGCCTTTTGCTGATAATCATAACAATCTAAAAGAGTTTTAGTCAGATGTGTGCTGGTTTTAGGGACATTCTTTTCCAGATTAAGTTCCGATACAAGTCTGGCCATACGTCCTTGAAGACTTCTGTCAAAAGAAAACAACCATGAAACAGATAAGTGCAAATAAAAATAACTAAATGAAAAAAAAATTAAAGCCACACATTTACACAGCCCTTTTAAATAAACTGCAAATGTCATTAATTTGAACATAAAACTATTATGAATCTCATATTAGAAATCAAAATGAAATAATGCCACCTAGTGACCACATCAATGTCCTGCAAAAAGCAATACATGTAAAATATCAAACCTGGAAAATTCAAAATGGCTTTGAAAATCACATTTGCAACACAAACATGATTCATGCATCATGCAAATCTTTAGAACTCATCATTGCATAATTTATCACTCAGACTGCAAAAACCCACAATCTTCTAAAATTGGATGGAAGTACAAGACAAAAAATACAAATACAAAAAGTACACACCATAAATCAGACTCTTTCAGAGCGTGCAATATCTTTACCATGCTAAAACTGCTCTCACCTGGTTAGTTCACGTAGTCTGCTGATTTCTGCATCTCGCTGCTGAAGACTTACAGCCAAGACATGGTTTTCCTTCTCTGATGCCTCTAACTTAAATTGAAAACTCTTCATCTGTGACAAGGCTTCATCTACATCTGAAGAAAAAAAACAGTGCCTGTTTTAACAGCTTTAGCAAAAAAAGACCAAAAGAAATAACACGTACTGTAAACGCAAATTACCCATTTTAACCCTGGCTGTGTCCACCTCACATGTTTGCCTCCTTTGTTGTAATTCTTTGTCTTTATCCTCGATGGTCTTCAGCAGTAGGCTTTTTTCCTGACGCTGGTCTTCAATTATTTGAACGAGTTCTTCATTTCTTTTCTGTAGTGCTTCAAAACCCTTCTGGGACTCCTGTAGTTTGCTCTGTAGTGCCATGTTCATAGACTGCAAAGAGATTACTGCATAGACCAGAAAAGAGAAATCTTGTTAGGTCACCACATCGAAGGAGGAATTCTTCCTTTGGAAAAGATGGACACCTTGATGGGATTAGCATTAAAAATCTAAAGCACCCTGTATATTGTTTTTTTGCAGTGTTAAATCCTATCAGATGGACATTTCGAGATTCAGAAAATTCAGACATACTCTCAAAATTGCAGTCAGAAGATCTTGATTCCTTTTCTGCTCTTTCACGCTCCTTCAGCTGTTGATTCACTATTCTCAGGCGCCTACAAGACGTGGAAAAACTGCATTAGTCAGTGCATCCCTCTGCTGCTTCAAAATGCTCTTACTGTAACAGTGTTAACATTTAATTTGCATAAGCAAAACTGTACTTGTAGAAAAGATGTGCTACTTTAGTAAATTGTGTAAAAACAATCAAATTCAGATACTGGTACGTGGTTAGTAACATTACTCATTTTTTTTATAATTGCCTTTTACGTTTCCTCTCTCTGGTAGTTATAAAACAGTTTAAGAAAAGATCATGCATAGCATGGAAGCATTAGTTTCCATGTTGCAACTCTGACTCAAATAAATGCTAGAACTACAAAGATCTGTTTGAATATCTCTTCTTCTGACCTCCGCAGCTGTGCATTCTCACTTCTCAAGGGCTGCAGAGCCAGAGCGATTTCAGCCTGGATGTTTGTACTTCCAACCATGACAGGAAGCAAGGAGATGCTCTCTTCAACTTCACTTATTAGCCGAAGAACCTCCGAGTCATCTGGTAAAAAGGAACAGTAAAATGCCTAAGACACAAATTAGGTTTTGTGTTTTTAATCAATCTTCAACATTGTTAAACACAAAAGGAAAAAGATTCAGGTAGTAATGTAGTTCTTAAAGACTAAGGTGTTCATTATCACCACAAAGATGGAAGATGCAGGGAGAGTGGGAACAGTTAGAGAATAAACAGGCCCAGACCAAAATTACAATCATGATATTCTGCTTTAATGTATTCACTACACCAGTTGTATTCTTGCATGGCTGCAGTATCTGCATATTTTGGTTTAATCTCTATTCTGAATGAGTTAGTCAAGCTAGTCATTACCTTAACTGCACCTATTTACACTTTTGCAAAGATTCTCAGGTCCTGCTAATTTAAAGAACTTGGTGGAATCTGATCCCCCAGGAGTGGAGATGTGCACCTGTGCACGACACTCCTGGAGTGCTCAAATCCAGTTACTCTTGAAGGTTACATATTTCTATGTTACACAGCTAAGCAGGTGATCTATTCAATGACAAGAACTCTGTTCATGAAGACTAAAGGGTACTATGAATTTACTCCTGAATGATCTGTAAATTGCTTAGCAAACCCATTAATTGATCATTAAATTGTTATATGTCTTTTAGAAATTGGTAACTGAATGCTAATCTATAAAATCTGTAACAGTTGGAAACTGATGTAAAATTAAAGGATGGTTGTATGATTAGAAATAATTAAGTTTTATACCCAGGACCCATTCAAAAGGAACCATACAGTATGAAGTAGTAGTTTAACCACTGTTTAACCATATAGTAGTAATTTAGCACAAGGGTTCCCAATTCTGTGCCTTGAGGTCCAGAATTTATCAGGCTTTGTAGATCAGTCCTCGTCAGGGAGGCCAACATATCTGCTGGATTTTGTTCAGAATTCATAGGGACATAACTGAACCTTTAAATGGTTTCAGAATAGGATTAGTTTGAACGATCAAAGAGATGCAAAAAGGGAAACGTTGATGATTTATCTACTTATTTTTCATATGCAAAATAACAATCCCAAATGATGGGAAAGGTAACAGAAAAAAAAACTTTTCTAATTAAACAGCTTGTCAGATTAATTAAGGCTTTGGAGAAGCCATAAATTGGTGCAGTTAAACCTTGACAGTTCAATCAGGGAAAGGATACAGACAACTTGATGTATTTCTAAGAGAACCACAGCTGGAAGCCCGAATTTAAAAAACAGAATTTTAGAGAGTAAAGATTTAGACATGAGAATCACTTAAATTACAATTTTAAAAGGTACTTCTGAAGGAACAATCACCGATTTTCTTTTCTTTTACCTTGATCGGCAACAAGGGCCTTTAGTTCTCCTAGAAGATACTTCACAGTCTTCACTTTTTTGGCTGTCTGTTCTGGACTCATCTTTTTTGTTCGACTTGACAGCTTCGGCTTCTCAAAGCTAGTCTGACAGCTGGTGTCCTTCACTGGAGTAATGTCTACACAGTCTAGTCCGTCTTCATCACTTGTGGTTCCTTCGCTGTCTTCTGATGTTTCCCTGGACAGAAGATTCTGCCCTTGATGTGGGGCTTGCGATGCTACATGTTGAGTACTGGGTTCTTGCTGCCGGTGCTCAAGGTGCATGTGGATCTGCCTCAGCAAGGCCTGATCCTTTAGTGACTCGTGGGGTGACTGCCCCACACCACCTGTTTCACTGTTGCACGGAGGCTGGGGTATGCTCTGTGCTACAGTCTCAGCGGGTGCAGTTAATGGCTGCACTAATAGAGGTAGACTGACAGGCTGCACTGTGGAAACTGCAGTGACAGGCCTCATTTGTTGGAGAAAGTGAGCGACCCCTCCTTGTGAAGTTACTTGACAATTCATATCATTGGACAGGTTCTACAAATCAAAAACATTTATCAAGTTACGACTAGATCTTGGAAAGCTGCGAGACAGGGTACTCAGAAAGTTAGATTCCCTCTCTTTATCTGTTAAAACATTAAGAAAGGCTATTGAGTACAGAATAAGCGAGTAAAGTATAACATTTCTTGGAATACTTACAGTTTGAATGTAAAACGGATTACCAGAATGAGGAGGGGACAAAGTAGGAGTGGAGGTAGTCAAGCGACTGTTAAATACTGTTGCAGTCTGTGGTCCTAGAAAACAAAAAAGAGTAGAAAACAATTACACCTTTTAAAACTGCTCAAACGTGGGAAAAAAGGACAACAGAATAGGAAATAAATCTGGTCAGCTGTGTCTGACTCCACACCTTTGTGCGCCGGTTGAGTGGGGATCGAGTTTCCTGGCACGGGGCAGCTGAGCAGAGACATTTGTGTTTGGACGTCTTCAGACAGACCTAGCTGAGCCTCGAGTGAACCCTGGGCAATTGGGACCAGCACAGGCTGAGCAACAGGTGCTTGCACTGCATTATTACAGATGCTTAGACATCTATTATCTTCTAATCCAGGGTATAAAGAGGACTTCACCACAGGAGCTGTGGAAAAAAAAATGTCCAGGTGAGGAATTCTAAAATGAACACTGTCATGCAACACAATAATGCAAGACAAAAAGGCAAAGAAAAGGCTGCTGCAATAATTTGTAAAACACCAAAATAAAATGACATGGACACTATACTGTAAAAAGGCACCATGCTTCGGATACGACATACTATAAAACTGTACTGTAAAAATTCCAGGGTGTTTCTTGAAAATAGTAGTAATCTATTCTGTTACCCTGGCATTCCTGGTCAAATCTCCCATTGTCCTTTACCAATCATGGCCTCCTAATAATCCCCATTCATGAACTGGCTTCATCACTCTGTTCGCCTCCCCACTGATAGCTGATGTGTGATGAGCATTCTGGCACACTATGGCTGCCATCACATCATCCAGGTGGATGTTGCATACTGGTGGTGGTGGAGAGGAGTCCCCATTACCTGTAAAGTGCTTGGAGTGGAAGTGTAAGCAATTATTATTATTATTTTCATTATCTACCTGCTGCTGCTGCTGCTTTCTGCACTTGAGGGATTGGCACAGTCCTTCTCTGCTGCTTTCTTTTCCCATTCACTCCCTTCCCAAACGTTACTTTTGACTGGGGTTTTGAAGCAGCTGCTCTTCCTGGCTTTGAGTTTGCAGGCTTAACATCTGGAATTTATACAAAAGTATGGGATTACCAAAGCTATATTGAAAAAAATAATAATTAAAAAAACTTAAAAACCATGAAGACACTCCTACCTGCTTTTTCCTTTTGAAGAATACCTTGTAATAATGCAGCACACCGGTCTAAGCCCTTATGTATGGTCGTAACCTTGAATGGGAGATATTTTAAGATTTTATTTTGCACAAAATTGACACTGTCTTCTCAGATGAAATGGACACCTGCACTGTTAGAATAAGTATTACCTGATCTTCAGAGTCCGTGGAATAAAGTGAATAACCAGAATCGACAGAAGCTTCTGATTCACGTCTTCCAGGCACTCTGAAAAGCACCACACATGGACATGTATTTAATATTGGCTCTGGGCAGAAGATTTGATGGCCAGTGGCTTTAGGCATTATTTCTGTTGTCGACTATATAAAATTGGTACAGAATACAAAATGTTCTTGAGAGTAAATGTGCATGCATTCTATGGACTATTGCTACTATCTACTTTAAATATATGAACATAAGAATAATCAAGACTGATCAATTATAATGATCTCAGTCCTCTTTTAAGTCAGTGGGAAGCAGAAAGAGTTCCTCTTCAGTCAAAATTTTATCAACTTTAAATATTGTTTTCACAGTTTACAATTAACAGTGCGGTTAAAACACCAGTCAAAAAAGATCTGCTTACCTCCTTTTCCCCACTGGCCCCTTCACAGAGCCAGCCAGCCTCCCTGAAGAGATTACCTGGCAGTAAAACAGCAACAGCCATGAGAGCAAGCTTTTCCCATTTTAGTGATCAGCCCACCATTTACTAGGTAATACAAAACAACCTTTTCTGTGAGATTTTGCAGAACAAAATCCTTGTTGCGGATACGAGTAAACAAAACATGAGAAGGCGCTCATTTACAAACATCGTAAGAATTAACGAATTGGCGCGTCTCTCTAAATTAAAGTTGGAACCGAGATTTACGTATTCCATTTAGGGGAAAAGCAATTTTGTACAAGAACACTTAAAACGTATTTACAGTCAGATAATAGCTTAACGAAGTCAAATTTCACACCTAGGTGAGAAAGTTTTAACGTCACAGGACTGACCCTTACCTTGTGAGGTTTATTAAGCCCTTGTCTTGCCATTTCAGGACACCAGCATCCTCGCCTTAATCGTAATTGAAGACTTCTTCTTGTTCTCATTAAGTGTAAAACTATACGTTAATTATCACTGGAGTTGACTCGACTATTTGTTAATCTTCGTATGTCAAACAATAGAAATTCAAACATCGCCACCACAACACATTAAAAAACACCCTTTAGCTTCGCATTTCTGTAACCTGTTGAACCATAGTTCCACATGTAGTAGACTTAACCAGAGACACAGCTTTACACTGAACTATATGTAAGAAACGGGGGCATGGAACCTAAAGTCTTAAGTTAATTGAAGTTCTTTACCCGTAACGTTTTCAAAACGGAAGCGCTGGTGAGTCTTCTAAACCAATTAAAACTAAGCAGTGTCACTCAGTGTCTCACGTCATTGGTTAAAAATACAGAGGCCTGCCTACACTCTCAAGGCCACACTAGCTGTGGGATTGAAGAAACTCTGTATCCGTCAAGACACCATGCCCGCCTCTTTCAACGGATTGGCGCTGAAAGACCGAGTTTTTAGGTTTGATTGGTTAGATGATCTCCAGAGGTTATGGCTCTCTGGAAGTAACGTAAGTAAATGGCTGTTACGGTGCCGTGGGTTGTGGCTTGGTGGGGCGTAGCTTGAAGTTTGGGGTGGTTGTGACCCTACTCTAACCCACAGAGTAGGAGGTAACCATGGAGACTGATTGTCGTTACGCTTGTATCTGAAGAGGGTCCCGCTGTTTTGTTTAGAATACCCGCGATTAAAAAGACTGATTTGATTTATTAGGAATACGTATAGAAAATAATGTTTATTTTTAATCTCTAAAATAAAATACACCATAACGTCCATAACTTGAACGACATTCAATTCACAAGATAAATGTGGTGGTGCTGTTTCTTTTGTTGCTGTATAATCACACGTTACTTGTGGCCATTTTACAATAGATTTACTGTATAACATTTACAGATTTTAATTTTTTTTTACAAATAAATGTATTACAGGCATGGTGACATGTATGAGTTAGAGCTTTACTTTTTTGGAAAAAAAAACTGTATATCGGGAAATAATGTAATGAATACATCGCAGTTTATTAATTAAAAACTGATTATATTGAATTCGGTTTTAACTCCTGTCGAGAAGGTGACAGGGACCACTCCCTTGTGCTTCTGTGTCGTGATTTTGTTTTCTCGTTCCATTAGGTTATTCGTTGTTCAGTCTGTGTCTGCCATTAAACAGGTACAGTACAGTTAGTACAGGTATCCTGGCGCTTTCCTGGAAGAGCAGTACACTGTGATTGCCTACCATATTATACAGTCCTTAATGCATAATTCCCCCACCCTAAACTCAAACCACAGAGTCAGTATCACGTTACCTTTATCGATGTACTGCTGTCAATGGCTGCTGACAAAACGGCAGTGAAACACAGATGAAAATATTTCTGTACGAAAGATATCAATGTAAAACCAAGTTTCGAGTGTCTCTAAACACTGCGACGCCGTCATTAACTAATAATTAAAATCTGGAACTGAATGCTAACCTCCTAATTTGTGCGGCCATTTAATTTCAATGTACTGTGTTCATAATGTAATTAAATGATCTCAAACATGTGATTTGGATTCTTACCACAAATCAAAGTTTTATTTTTCAGGACTTTATATTATTTTAGCTTTAAAACAGCAATAATGGATTTTAATCAATATTTGTATTAATTCAGGTGGGTAGCTGCGTCAGCATGCGTAGGTTGCAAAGGAACAAGTAATAGGTTTATTCCATGCTGAAAAAAAAGAAGAAAGAGAACACAACGTTTCGGCGTGGACCTGAAAAGGCTCCACGCCGAAACGTTGTGTTCTGTTTCTTCTTTTTTTCAGCATGGAATAAACCTATTACTTGTTCCAACATTTGACAATGATAGGAATTAAATTCACCTTGAGGACAATATGAAGGACTACGCAATAAACGTTATGACATAGGACTATGAAAACCTTAATACATTGAAATAATATATTCTTACTTAAATTAAGAATTAATATTTTCATGGCAAGTAAGAAACGAGAGTTTTAGAATGTAATCGCTTTTTATCTTGGATCACAGCCATCAGAATGTTGTACTGTGATGGGTTTTACAGTAGCTCTCTCTGGTGGTCAGACGTCTTACAACACTTAAAAATTAAAGGCTGGACAGAGCAACTTGTATAGGCTAATTTACCATTTTATTAGCAACTGTTTTTACATTTTATTTTAATCAGATATTCTTTTTCCTTTAAAGATTTGATTGATAGATTTAGAGAAGAGCTGCCAGATACATCTTTGGGCATAAAGGGAATGTCCTACACTGACACTAGAGAAGATTATTTGGGTGTCAGATTCAAGCATCGTAGAAGGCATGGACAAAGTAAATCCTATGTATTTGAAATAATTTTTATGTTCTATACCCTTAGTTTAGCTGACTAATGCATCTCCCAGTTGTTTGCATTTTAATGCATTTAAAGGTGTAATTTGATTAAAGAAGATAAAGAAACTTGCAAGGATTTGAACCCACAACTTTTCAATTATGAGTCTAGATATCTCATTACTCCACACTGCTGTCTCAAAACAGTGTTCTAGAATGTATTAAATGGTAAGTAGTGGTCCAACCATTTGTGCAATGTGTTAATACTAACATAAAGAGAATAAAATGGTAACAATCCTACAAAAAAGAAACTTTAGTTATGTGATACCGTAGTTTTGATTTATGGACCATAAAGACATCTTCAATTAAATACAATATAATAAATTTCAGTCCCTGGATTTCAGCTTTCACTTTTATACAACTTTGGACCAGAAAGCATGTTTTGATTGGTTCTTTGTCTGCCATATTGATCTCCTATAAATTACCACAAATGTCCCATTTTTCAATTTAAAGTACAGTTAGGTGAGATAGTGAGATTAATGTCCTTAAGAAAATAGGATTAAAAGATGAATGAAGTGAACTGACAGTGGAACTTCATAAGTTCTGTATATTGGGTGTGGCACACCTGGGGACAGATATCTTTTATAGATGGTAAACAGACACACAACAACATTGTTTATTTTTACAATGCAAGGAATCAAAAACTCAAAGAAAATCCTAGCTCTTGTGTGAGATCTAAACTTCTTCAATGCCCCTTTGTATAAATTACAGTTGGATAACTGAGTATTTCTTTCAAAATTCTTCTCCAAAATGTTGCAATTCTCCACAGGCCAGCCCACCAGACTGTAGAATGGTGGCTGCTCTGTACCTGTCACCCTCCGCTCAGTGCATCTTGGAGGGTGTGCTATCCTCCTGGACAGGAGAGATGGATGGACAACACCAAACCTCTGTTTCCTGGTTTCTAAATGTTATCTGACCAATTGCCTTCCATTAGTTTATTAGGTGACAAAGGACTTTAGGTCATTCCCCATTGCCTTCTAGGGATTAATCTGTTATAGTTCAAAACTAAATACGTAGTTCACACAGTGTTAGTACTGTGTAATACTAGGTATAGTTTGACAGACATAAACTGTCAGCATATAAAGAATTAACAGTTTAGCAATACTGTAACAGCTTCAATACAGAAAACAAAGCAAAGGTAGATTAATCTTATTTAGCAATAAGCACATTACTGTCAAGCATAGCCTTAAAGTGCTGGCATCTTAAGAAATCTTCATTGGTAGACAAGAAGCAACCCAAGTGCTATCAAATAAAAAAACCCCGAGAAATACACTTTCCACATAAAGAACTCCCAGTAGTCTCCCATGCTGATACATTTCTTTTGTACACATTCCTTTTTTGATGCATTTATTGGAATACAGAGAGCCTGCCTGTGTTTATCAATGCAGTATGGCACGAGACAGAACAGCATCTCCTTTGGATTCATGGAGCTTCCACAGGAGAACAGCAGGGAAGTTATCCTAGACGGAGTTTCCGATTGTTCATGAAATCAGACACTTTGACCACTCCCTCTGAGGACACACTGTGTGAAGCAGAAAACTGATTTGGAGAATATGCTAATACAGTAGAAATAGCACCATAATACAACACAAGTTAAAGCATTAAAACATAAACAGAAAAAATATAAAAAACATTGTCTTGTTATCTTTTAAATTGTTTTACAAAAATAATTTTAACAATTAACAATTGTTAAACAATACCAATTCATTTTAATATATACATATCTAGACATAATATTTTTGTAGTGTTAACCTAGTAACATGTTCTAAAATGCTTTAACATGAACAATTTTCTTCCAAAACTGTAAGGAGGCTGCAGGATGTAACTCTGAGATGTTTAGCTGGATAAAATATTAGTAATGTGTGTTTTAATTACAGAATGTGTTTACTTACACTTGAGTCTCCAGATGTTTTAACACTTGATTAACCTGGTCTTGAGAAACCTCTCTATCAACATCTGCTAAGTAGGTATAAAGAAACTTGAACATGTCATAGGGAACACAGGCGTCTGGGGGAGTAGAGTTAGGGTCTGAGTTCAATATGTAACAGGCGTGAATCATTGCATTTTTTATAGTCTGTTGAGAAAGCAAAAAAATAGTTGTCACTAAATGAAGTATTTTTTTTTCCTAATGGTTTTGTTATATAACATTGAGAAACAGCTCATTTATATAAAATCTGAGATATTTTAGAGCACACTATAGAGTAGTTTTTTTTCTGCTTATATTCTTGTAGCTGGATTTAGTATACATTTTTTATCAGTGTACATGTATTTCCCATAGAACAATGAAGGCAGGGCACTACATTAGTATTTCATCTAAAATACTGTGCAGCCTGTGACCATACATACTGTAATAGGTACAGGTAAAGGCGATGCTACTCATCGAGCCACATCCTTCTTTCAACACACTTATCCTGGCTTCCGTAGTGTTTAAGAGACTAGAGAGCACCTTGGTCAAGGATATACAGTAACAGCAGTGTCTGTAGCAGGCACAACCTAACAGGCCAGCAGCTTATCCAATACGCTCTGTCGCTCTCTAGGTGGGGTATGACTGAACAAAAACATTTGCATCCACCGTTAAGAGGAGTGAAACTGTGAATTTTGGGGTAATTTTTGATTAAATATAACATTGCTGTTATGCTTATGGTACTGGAATTAATCAATTATCATACATTTTATCTGGTATATTGTCCTGCTGTCACGATTATAGTCCCCCCTCCTTAAGGGTGCTCCAGCCCTTTCACTTAGACTTTATTCTCTGCACCTGTTTCCCATTCCCAGCCCACCTTAAAAGCCAGGCACTGACGCTCATCGGGGCTCTGCTCTGATTTCCATATCGTACGAGTCCGGGACCTGGAAGCGCCTGGTCCCGTTCCTGTTCCCCGTCCGCCGGTTCCGACCCGGCCTTCGTGGTTTTTAACTTGTTCTGATGGATCTTCTGGTTTTGGACTTTCTCGTGTGTTTTTGGATATTCCCTAGGACTTCTCTTTTGGATTGTTCGCCTCGGCCACACCTCCCCCATGCACCAGCGCACCTTGGACACGCCCCCCTGTCTTCTGCCCCGTATTCCTTCATGAAGTTTTCCCTAGTGTTTCCCCACTCCGTCGGACTGTCGTCCGCATAGGGTCCGGAAAGAACTGTTCGTTACACCTGCATCATGTTCTTGGAAATTAAGGTAACTATATGTGAAGAAAGCAGTGAGTGGAATTGGCTGGTATACAGTATTAAAAAGACTGTCAGGAAAAAGATGCATTTCTACATTGTACAAACATTGTAAAACTGTAAAAAAAAAGGAAGAGAAATGTAACGAAACAGTTCTTTCAGACCCTAGGCGGACGACACGATCCAGGGAAAAGATCATGCAGGATACGGGGATGAAAACAGGGGGCGTGTCCTTGGTACGCTGGTGTTCGGGGGAGGTGTGGCCGAGGCAAACAATCCGGGAGAAAATCCAAAGGGGAATCCAAACAAAAGCAAAAGTCCAAAACCGGGGGGTCCATCCAAGACAAACAAGATAAAAACTGGAACCGGGTCGGAACCGGCGGGGGGAACGGGAACAGGAACAGAGAATAAAACCTTAACGGGACCAGGCAATTCCAGGTCCCGGACTCGCGCGATACGGAGATCAAATGCAGAACGCCGAATAAAGTGAGCGTCTGGCTTATAAGGAGAACTGAAAGGGGGTTAGAACGCGGAGCAGGAACGGGCGATGTGTGGAAAACAAGGAAGGGCTGGAGCATCCTTAAGAGGAGGGGTCTACGAACGTGACAGAAATAGGTTTTCTATTGGTAGTTTTTGTCAGAGGTTGAATCAATGTCTGTTTATTTTTCTTGACAAAACTTGACTTACCCCTCCAAGATAACTGCACCCGAGAGCTAAAAATTTCATCCACTCAAGTTCCTCATCAAAGTGCCCCACGACAATAATATGTTTTAAAAGGTCAACCGGAAGACCAAATTCATTCCATTTGAGCTCAACTTCTTCTTGGTGCACTGTCTCTCTCTCTCCAAACTTCAAAGGTATGGAAAGGGGAAAAAAAACATAATAAAACCATTAATTTTAAAACATATTCTTGTTTATTTCCTATGATAATTTGATATATTTCTGATATACTGTATAGACATTTTGATCATTTGAGTCCAGTCAGTTATGCTAAAAGTTTCACAGCACGAACTGGAATTGCAATTTCAGTCAAAGTTTTCATTTTGAAACGTAAACTAATTAAACTTAATTTTCCCAGTTATGCAGGGTTTTATTTTAAGTATAGGGATGCACCCAACATACATATTGATGACATTTGACACCAAACTAGTTTCCTGAACATTATGAAGTGGATGTTTTATACTATATACAGCGTGGTGACAAAGTGAAATTAACAAGAAAAGGCTAAGCTACTCAATTAAGGGGTATTAATCAGGTTGTCAAGGAGAAGTGTTATTTACAGTTATATTGCCATCGTTTATTGAGATAATGATGAAATTTGACAATTTGTTTCAGAGGTGCTGATTTTTACGACGATACAATACTCTTTTTGTTCCCCTGGATGAGATGAGTTATTTATGATGCTGGCACTGATAATGGGGTACCCCCTGTACAGCAATACACTCTCATTATGATTGTCTCACTGAGAAAGTTCTGATTAAGGCAGATATTGTAACCAAAGAGGAAAAAACAATGGTATCAATTATTTTAACATTCTAAGTATTGATTAATTATTGCTGGCATGAAGCAAATAAAGGATCTTTTTTTATTTAATTTCATACAGTATTTTAATTTTAATGTATTGCATTGTGAATGTCAGTGGAATAATAATGAAAATGTGTACAATGAAAAATCTGGTGTTGTTTACATCAGCTGTTGTGGGTGTCTGAAACAAGATGGTTCCCTGGGCACTTTCAGCAAAACACTAGATAAAATCTTCAGATTAATAAACTACTAGCAATCAGAACTGAGCAAGCATGGATGCCTCCTTTTCATTGTATCCTTTCTGATATTATCTTCTAATTTATTTGGTATTTATTAATTCAGAAACACCAGCTGGATAATTATAAGGAGCAGTGTGTAGTAGTGGGTCTGTTAGGTAAAACCATTAAACAGAAAACCCCACCCCATCCCCACCACCTCTGTGTGTAGGGCCTTTAGAAGCTCTGGTGTGAGATCCATTTGACTTGCTGCAGCATTCTGATCAGATCTTGCTCTCACAGGAAGGGGCTGACCATTAGCTAAAGCAGTGAAATATCTGCACAGTTAGAAAATAGATGATAAATAAAACAGGACTGGAAAAACAGTTTGATTACAATTGCAGAAAGTGACACAACCACTGTTTTTTAACAGACTAAAACAGATCAATACAACATCAATCAGATCAGGTAAACCTTTTTTAGTCTTGAACAGATTAGGGGGAGACCTCATACAAGTGTTAAAAATCCTCATGGCCATAGATAAAGTCAATCCACCTGTCATCCTCAGAATTAACAGTTAAACATGACCAGAGGACACATGTAGAAACTGCACTGCAACATATTTAAAACAGAACAGTAGACACTTATATACGCATTTTGTGGGAGTGTGGAACAAGCTACTCAGCCATGTTGTTGAAGGCCAAACCCTTGGCTTCGTTCATGAAATGGCTGGGTCATTGGATCAATTAGCTACTAACCACCAAACAGGCTAGATAGGCTTAATGGCCAGCTCTAGTTTGTACCTTTTATTATATCCAATAAGGATTTTTTAAGTACAATTAAAGGATCAACTGTGATGTACTGTATGTACATAATTTGCTAATGATGATGGATCCACTGCAAGGCTGTTCTTCCATTGAACACATTTTGCACATTTATCTTTTTAACATAAATTTGTTTAAATGGAACAACTATTTTCAGCCTCCTCTAAGACTTCTCTAAGGGAGGATGTCTATTTTCAGTAATGTGGTACTTGCCATAAAGTGGAGCAATTCTGGCAGGAGAAATTCTGTCATACTTGCATGTAGCCTGATAGAAACTAGCCCTAACACTACTTCAGTCATGTAGTTATAAGGGGAAGTTAAAATGAACATACTGTATGCTTATAATGTCTGTTAAAAGACATCAAATCTTTATTTCACTTTTTTGTGGAAATGATATACTGTACAGCTTATGGAAAGTACTAATTTCAAATCAGCAACTGCCTAAAGCGTAGTACATAGCCTTCAAAATATAAATATTATGTCCTGAGCATGAACCAAATACTGTAATTCCACTACTGAAATTAGAAAATTAACTTTGAGGGAACCACGACTATTTGCTGGGCCAAATCTCAGCACTGCTGCTACCAGGTTTTCTGTTATTAATGTTGCATCTTCTCTCAACTAATCAGTAGTGTCAGTTCCTCTCTTTGTTTTCCTTTTCATTTGATTAAATATCCCCTACATAAAGCAGCAACTGTGTAAATATATTTTTTTCTTCTCACACAGCTATTTGATAAACTGATCATAAGAGCACGTTCACTGTGCCATTAATGAAATCAGGTTTATCCCAGAAGAGGAGATTTCAGAAACACATAAACATAATTAGTGAAACATTATTCTATTTAATCTGCCATTTTTAAAATAAGACTGGGTATAATCTCACACAACAGTTAATAAAAGTTATATATTCTTGGTTCCTAAGTACTGTGTTTACAATAATATAATTTAAATGTAAAAGTCTAATAAGCATACTACAAAGGAAAAACACCTCTCTATAAAGCAGATATGCTCCTCTTGGAGTAAGTTAATAAAACCTAATGCTTGTACAGCTATGGAGTATTTTTTGAGAGAAAAATATTGAAGAAACACTTAAGCTATCACTGCTACCTACTGTAAGTTGCAGGCTTTTCATTAGACCTATGAGATCCCCACTTCACAAGAGGAGAATCTATACTGCAATATTTGATTCCAAGCTGTTTTGAGTGCAGTATTTCAATAATGGAAGAACTTACATAGAAGACCACTCTAGCAGATCGGCTGGCTGTGTTCTGATAGCAGCTTTAGTAAACTGCTTCAGAATGTCTGGTAGCTCTGGTGGGATGATGACTTGCTTTCCAGAAAGAGGCATTTCAGTGCCCAATCTTAAAAGATCAAGATGAAATGCATATTCATCAGAAGAAAACCAACGTAACAAAAACAGATGCTAAGAGTCTAAAATTGCTACAAACAGTGGAAGGTGTCAGACCAGCCTTTTCAAGGCAATACAAAGTACATAATCGCGAAATCAAAACTATCAATCTTTCACCAAGAAACATTTTTTTTAATTAATGAATTGCCATGCATTTTAGAACAAACCAGAAATAGTCAAATTAATATACGTGTTCCAATATCTCTTTCTGCATCTCGTTCCTTTTCACTTAATATATAGAAAATGCGCCAATACAAATAATAATGTACTTTATACAGACTACACTGTACATAAAACTATCACAGCGCGATTTCTTAATCAGGTCTATAGACATTTCATTAAGAGTTAAATGAACTGCGTGTCTTGTTCTTTTCAAACCTGTTTTTCTGTCCGTTTTCTAAACAGTAAGTGCAGCACGGACTGGGCTACGTTTTCATCATTCCGATTACAGTGTGTTTAGTGTTCTAAAGACATTTTTCAGTTTAAAAAATCAAAACATCGCCTTTTATCGTGAATCCCCACAAGTTTAACGGTATGTACAGGCGACAGAGTCTATCATATGAATAAGTCCCTAAATCGATGCAGACCACCTTCACCATAAAAAAGTACTTAAATAATGCATTTAGAGTATATCAGTCTGTAAAAGTTAGAATAAATACAATCGTTTCCAGACCTCTAGACCTTGACTTTTCTGAACAATGCCCAGTCGCTCTAGTTGATAGATAGTGTCGTCAAAAATTAGAAACTTGAGAAGAGTGTTCAGGTGTGCAGCTGTCAGATGATTTGACCTGATGTTTAACAAGGAGATTTTATTCGGTACTGTGTGTATTGTGATGTAGCTGTGACGAGATGGAAGACAGGATTTCTTAAGTAAGCTGTGAATACTGTACATATCGTACCGTTTCATCATGGCAAAGTAATTTAAAACATTATTTTACATTGTAACGTTCCTAATTATTCCATTCTTATTTCCGCGTTAATCGGTAGCAACGCACTATTCTCCAGAAAAACGGAAAACCGCCTTTTCTACTATAAGAGAATTGTAGACTATCTAGGCTTCAAGAGGGTGACGTCACCTTCTGCAATAGGTTCAGTTCTACGGAGCCTTTCTAGGATAACATGAAGCTGTTGGCTAACAAGCTCTTTGCTACTCCTTTTCCTTTTGTTACAAACCAAACGGACAGAAGTTCTCTTTTCTCTTACAAATAGTATTCAAAGTATAGCTTTAAAAATAATATGAATTGGTAGAGACCAAACATAATTAACTGTGTACGATATGACCGTTCCAAAAATGTAATATTGTTAATGTCTAAGTCTACAACACCAATGAAAGCCTTTTTTCAAAAGCGTTACTATTCTTTTAATAAATTTGGTGTTTCTATGTGTAATGTGTTTGCTTATAAAGAATGTTTCCAAATTATATATTTTTATCAACTTTTTATGGCAGGGAGCCGTTATATCTTACAACTCATACAGTATGTGGTAATCTTGGAGTAACGAGAAATCTTCTGCAGTACTAGTCATGTATAAAATATACCACTAGGGGGCAAATTATCTCTATTTTTAAAACGACAATGGACTCGATTTTCCTGTAATTTATGGCCCTACAAATTTTGAGTCACCACAAAATCTTTATAACCTGCTATTTTCTTCGCTTTAAGTTTTTTTTCTCCTTGTCCATACTTGTTTCACTTATTCTATTCAGTGGCTTAGCTTTACAGAACTTCTCATGTTTTATCCTTGTATGAGTCACAGCTGCTACCTTGTGAAATTAAAATACGGTTGGAACCACAACTATTGGCATAAAGTCTTTATACTAAATATTTTGTATAATAGACGTTTTAAATAGAAGAGGTTCTTTACTGACGTTTGGCGGGGATAATGGCAAACAAGCCAATTTCACCCAGTTGTTCTAAATCATAATCATGAATAATCTGTATCACAAGTAAACACCTCTTTTTCGCATTTTGTCTCAGGCCTCCTCTATCCATTTTTACAACCTACCCCTTGGTGAACTCCAATCCTCATCCTATGGGCAGGGGGCTATCTCAAAACCGAGCAGTTTAATGCCGAAACGTATTATACTACAAAATACTTAATATTCACAAATGAAATCATTATTGGATGTCGTTATTCCTCGTGAATTCTTACCACTTCAACGTTTATTCAAACCCTACATTTTTCAGTGCTAGTTGACACATGTAGGCACATTATTGTAAGATACATGTTGACAATAGTTAAGCCGGCCACTGCTCGGTGAAGCCGCATACATAACTTTTTACATACCTGTGAGATGAGCTCATTTACTATAAATTATAACTATTCCACCACTATTGTTTTTCCAAGATGCCTACCTTTAAAAGAATCCTTCACAATACAATTGAGAGTTTAAATCTGTAGAAAAAAAAGAATGTTGGACACAGTAAGAGCTTGGCACGCTATATCCCAACTGCGTTGTCTGTTAACCAATTGACTTATTTGTTACTACAGTATACAGTATGTGTAACAGTTTAAGGCCTCCACGATTTAAAAAAATATTTTTAGATTGCAAGTACGTTACTGAAACAAAATTAAAGAATTGTGCATCCGTTAAGGTCAGCGATGCTTAGTAATGTTAGCTTATTCTATGACATTACATTCTTTCAACGAAGAATGGAGTAAGAAACGGGTCTATGGACATGTTGTAGGTCTTTTTCCCCCCAAATTTACAATGTTCTTGACAATTTGTTGTCGCTTGGAGGCGGTAGATGACCAGAACTCTGGTTGAAGATAGCAAAATTGCCTTCGTTTCTGATAAAAAAGGAGCTTCGATTTTCAGATACAGCGTGCCTTTCCCATGACAGATGGTTAGGGCTGTAACTAGTATAACGTCGCTATATCTGGATTCCGGGAATATACAGAATTGCACAGCCTGTAATCATTTTTACCACCCAAGTCAGTTGTGTGTAAACACCCAGACATTTAATGACATTTGGGGGATATGAACTGGCCGCTCATTGATGAATGAATCGGGTGACTCACCCTGCACACACAAAATGAAAAAAATATGTGTGCCAAACATGGTATCTTCTATGACTCATCTGCATGGCTATTAAAATAACTGTACACATACCGTGCATTCCTGAGGGCATGATGAGGTCAAAACAGGAGTGCAACACAAAGAGCCCCGAACCGAAGCTGGCAGGAGCAAGTTCTTTAGGCAAAAATATCGCGTGAAATTCAGGTACTGCAACTCTGGTTGTCGAAGTAATTGGACTTTCTGTGACTATACACTAGATGGTCAAATATTTCTAGTTGCATAAACTGGGAGCTGTATGCTGCTAGACCTGCCTACGAATATATTGGTTATTAATACGGGAAAAAGGAGGAGACGGGGTAGTGAGAAGGAGGGGTGAAAAAGGGTGCGGAAAGTCACTCATTGTCAGAAACGTACACTTATTTTAGTCGCTTTCTCCACACACGAACAGACGTACTGCCTTTGAGAACAAATGAGGTTTGTTTAGATAAGGTTGCTTTCGGAATTAGCAAAATGTAGGTACATGTTTATTTACATATATTTGGACACAGGGTGATATGTTATCTCTACCTACTCAGGCTGTGTCTCGGCACCAGAAACAGCATATTGAAAAACAGAAATCCGACGTTGTAACTACTGTATTTCAAGATCAAAACCCCTTGCTCTGCACCAGTCACTTACATTATGCAGATTTGTATGACATCACTACAATATACTGCCAAGGTACAGTTCTAAAGCAACCATACGCTGATTCCTTACTCTGTGCAGCTAATTGTAAGGATATATACAAAATATAATCTCGAAAATGTGCAAACGCATAAACTAAACACTGCACATAGCTGCAACATAATTTGCAGAACAATTTATTGCATCCTCGTTATGTGTCACATGTGCAGTGGATTGCTTTTGTGGCGCCGGAGCTGCTAGAAAGAGGAGGGTGAATTCTGAACAATAGAGAGAAATGCAGCGCTGTTCTTTGTAATAACACGGACGGAAACCCACGATTGGAAAGCGAACAGCTGCGACCAGGAACACAAGAATATGGAGGGGATCGTGCACTGATTCTGTGAGACACATCACTGGATATACTTCGAGTTACATTTTCCTTTCTGAAATCCACGGGAGAAAGAAGAAGATGAATTCAGCCGAAGCACCCGATGAAGGACTGAATGATTCGGATGCAGACGCGTTTTTCAAAATAGGTAATGGGTTATTTTTTTTCTGTTATCACACATAACTGAAAGGAAATGATTCTGCAGCATCCTGTGAAGGCGAAATGTTAATTATACATTGTGTACGCCTGAGCATGTATTGACCCCTGTATTGACACTGAGTAAAGGAAATCAGAAAACACACGAACGATCATCACTTCGGCCTCAATAGCTCACGTTATGTATTGTACCGGGTTGAAGGAACTGGGTTCCCAACACTCCTGGGAGAGAAAGATTATTTCGTTTTGTGAGAGAGGTGGATTAAACAGGAATAGGATCTCGGAATGTATAGTTATATTAGCTGGTATAGGTGCGTTTTAACGTATGTTTTCTTTCGTGTCGGTGTGCACAATCTTGGCTGATCTTAGATTTTTATAGCCTATAAACAGGGAGTGACTGAATGAGAAAAACATGCCACATACACGCAAACAAGCATGTTGCTGCCGAATACTTACATGTAGTCTATCCCCGTTCATTCTGTATATTGTGCATGTACGTATGTATGCAGCCATTTCTGTCTTTATTTGCCTTTCTGTACACACGTACACATTGGATCAGTGTACACATACATAAGCAAGTGATGTGTAGGTATAAGTATGGTAATTTAAAAGTTAAACTGTTAAACGGTTCATTCAGGGAGTGATACATTTAAATATAGAGGATTAGTATCAACCCATGCTTTTGCACATTGTAAAACCGTAACGAAACTGTCACCTTAAAATTTATAATCGTGTAGCAGTCCAGTTCTTTATACTTATTAAATATATTATTTAAGTTTATCCATCCTGTTGCGTTTTATTAGTATAATTCAATATGATACAAATATGGAATACATCGATAATTTATTATTGAGAGTGAGCACATGAATGTAACCATATACAGTATCTGTATTTTCCACCCTAATCTTCTCTTGTCTCTTGTTATTGTAGTTCCTAAAATGTTTTGGTAGATATAGTTAAATAATTTAGATTTCCTGTTGACAAAGTGATTGTAGGTCCTGGAGAGGATTAAACAGAAAAAGGGAGTGTCTTCAAATTACCCATCACCCTCATCAAATATGTTTGTATCCTTTCCTAGCATAAACCTTCCTTTTGAGGGTGTTTTTTTATTCTGCACATGCAATGGAGATGTTAAAACATTAAAATCTGGATTAATCATTAAATCCATTAGACATCTGCTCTTTGGAGTGACATCTAAACCATGAAGTCAAATAATCTGTCTGAAACCACCAGACAATTGAACACCATTTGCACTTTGGGCTGTTCCTTGACTGAGAGATTCTGGTTTCACTATGGTGACTGTATACCCTCTAACCCCCCAAGCTGAAACTTAGACACAAGCCACAGGATAGCCTTTATAAACCTTAGCTAACCCTATTCGTATTATGCAGGTAAAAATGGCACTTTTTTAAAACTAAATTCGTACTGTAGCATTTGTGTGCTGTTGTTTTTAATTCAGTTTGGATACATGGTGCTGATGTTGTCAGTCTCTCTGATAGCTAGTGATGTAATACTGGCCAAGTCAGGGTTTTTCAATAAAGAGCTTACGTTTTGCTGTACCATAGAACCTGTTGTATACCCGTTTAAGTTCAAAGGTGTGTTTTCATTCTCGTGGCAATTTCTTACAGAGTAACTAAGAACAGAAAAGTAGAGCCAGCTGGAAAAACAAACAAACAAACAAACAAATTATTTATATGAGAAAACGCCAAACTAAGTTTAATCAAATAAATCCTATAATAACGCTGTTTTTGCAGAAAATGAGGGCAGTGTTATATCAGTGTGTTACAGCTTTGTCAAAGTAGGCCAAAGTTGGCGCAAAGGTGTGGTTTTCCAACATATAAAAGTTTCAGACCAAGAAAGAAGAAGGTTTCTTTTATTCTTTATTTGGTCCACTTATATGAAACCTACCAATTTCTGTTTAACATGCTCTATCAATGGGAGTATTGTGTTGCTTTTAATTTTAGTTTGAATTCTACTTACATGACATGACAGAGTGAAGAATTCAGACAGGTTAATCAAGTTATTGATTCATGACAGCTTTTACACACCAACATATTTTAGTTATGTAGTAAGTAGTTTTATTTTTTTTATGGGTGCAATAGAATTAATACAACTGTGTATGAATATGGTACCATGGTAGCATGTCTTGAAAAGTATTGTAATATTTGCTACAATAATCTCTAGTATGATCAGTTGCTTACATTTGTGTAGTGCTTTTTATTCCAGAGAATCCCATAGTGCTTCATGTATAGGATGACGCCCACTTAAAGTGAAGTATCCAAACATATTTTGCACAAGAGGGTTGCTGGCACACAATGGCTCTTGTGCAAAATAAATTTGGTTCATGGGGAAGGAGTGAGACATTGGTTTACCAATTGAATTTAGGAGAAAATTACAGAGTCCAGATTACGGAATCCTGAAATTTAGCTGGGCCTTTGGAGTCAATATGCCTGCTCTTTCAAACAATGTCAGGGATCTTTATGACCAAGTACACAGAACCTCAGTTTAATATTTTATCTTAAAGATGGCATGTCCACAGAATTGTCTCTTCTCAACATACTGGTGCATTGGTTTAGGAAATTCTGTTTCAGAAATAGAGAGGAGTGCCACCTACTGATCTGCCAACATCTCACACAGCAGCAGTCTGATGTTTCTTAGGTTTCTCCCATTCTAGTACTGACCACACTCAACCTTGATCACCTTCTGAGCTGTGACGAGATCAGGCTGCAAGGTGATAATGCACAAATACCATTCTTATGAAGTATGTACAGTACAGTACCACGTGAAGGTTTAATCCATCTTTAGCTATGCAGGATAAGGGGTGGGTTGTTGAGCAGGTTGAGACATCTGCTATTAAAATGTCTCTCTGAACACGTATGATTTTATTGTAGGATCAGTTTGTTGGGGAATTACGGTACTTGTACAAATTAATCTCCGTTGTTAAGTGGGGCATATGTCTGTGTCCCAAAAAAGCTTACTCAGTGCTTTCAGAACAGATGTATACCAGAAAGTAAGATCTAAACTAAAAAAATGTGCAGAGAAGAAACATTTTCTTAAGTGTCAAGATATAAAGAAGTACAGGGCTGTGTTCGTTCAGAGACTTTTGAGTTCAGATGAACATGAAATGACTCACAGATGGTGAAGGCTATAAATGCTGCTTGTGAGAATTTGATTCGGTTATTGCTTTATAGACATAGCATGGACATCTGGTCTCCTTTCAAAGAGAAGCATCATCAATACTTAATATTGATACATTATGACATTCTATGTCCTGGAGCTACAGGGATAACAAGAAGGCATGTTGTCGGCTCTACACTGAACTCAATGTTTGCATTGTAAACAAAGATATTATAGAGCTGAAAAGACCAGTAAAGTAGATTTATGTTTTGTGTTTAGAGTATTTTTTACTTGGGGTCCTAGAGGTGACAGGATATGAGGATATGATTTTAATATACCTGTAAAATGTGCTTTTAATTGTGTCATGTAAGAAATATACAGTGAAGAATTTCAAATGTTTGTTAGTTTTATTAACTGATAATTAAGTTGATAGTTTGTTGGAAGACACATCAGCTTGTTGCTTTGAATTCCTTTTCTGAATTGTATGCCTCAGCAATCTATTGACTTTCATTAATCGAGCTAATAAGTGCAAAAGATTGGCAGCAGCAAGTTTTGCAGATCAATATTTGGATTACTTGAGTCTAGCTGTCTGCTAGAAATAGTTTATATTAAGTGCAATACAGTGGAGTACAGAAGCTGGCAATACAACTACTTCATTCCGTTGAGTCTGTCAAACAGAGTCTGTAGTAGACTTTTTAGCTTAATTAGTTAATTATATCATTAGGCTCTAGGCTACAAACACAATGGGAAACTGGAGTAAAGTTTATTTTTGAAGCCCGAGTTTAGGTATTGGTTTGTCAGAATGTGTTAGGCAGACATATTTTAATGGTGGCCTCATTCAGAATTTAGGAAGGGGTCCTATCATACAATCACTGCCGTGGGTGGTGTCTATCTTAATATCACAGATGTGGGTAGTGTCAATGTGAGACGCACAAGCTACACACATTTATTTGCTCAGCTGTTTTGACCCCGGTGCCCTGAGGAGCTATAATATTTGAGGGTGGTCCTGGTATTCTGTCCAAGTATTGTACTGTACATGATCCAGAGTGCTGACTTCATGTGTCAACCAAGTTAACGTCTGCTGTGAGAATACATTTGTTTTATACTAGATTTCTTGGTAACTGGTAGCAGAATCTAGGTGTTAAGAATATTCTAGTTCGTGGCGCCTTTTTAAATTTCAAACCACTTTAGTTTACAATCGTTTATTCTGGCAAAACATCAGGATTTTTCAGCTTTTGCTGCCTCTGTGGCCACATGACCAGTCTCAGCACACAAGGAGACACTTAAAACACTGAGGGAACACTGAGTGGTTCACTGATGTGTAGAGTATTTTTTAAAAAATGCTGGTGCTAAATTCAGCAGAACGAGGGGTTAGGATAAACTCAGACGTGCCATTTCATGGTTTTCTATGCTTATTTGGTATGATAGCATAATAGGAGTTGCATTGTTCTTGCAGAAAATGAATCCAGAGTTTTATTTGGGATGCTGATGTAAATATTGTTTAATTCATTCATTTTCATTCAGCCTGAGAAGCCTCCTCTAAAATGTGTCTTGGCTTCCTTCCCATCTCATAAGGGACCCCTGATACCCTGCTGGCTAATCACAAATGGTGGCTCTACTCTGTGTATTTTCATGACTCGTGAACAATGAGGTTTGATTCTTGACTGTCAGATGGAACAATAGTCCTGCTGATGGGATGTCTCGGTCTCCACTGATGGGAGTGCGCTCCATTTATAGAGCAATAAAAGCATGGCAGATGGCTAATTGGACAAGATAAACCACTAGGGTAATAGGGAGAGTAAAAGACGATTTGCAGGGATTATTGAGTCATGATCTGACGTGGAAATTGGAGGAAGCTCCCCCAAAGGCTGCAGG